CAGGGGCCTGATCGAATAATTTACTACCTATCTGCAAACTATCGTTACGATCACCGTGTAATTTTTGTGGTTTCATCAGTAGTTAAAAAGTGTTTAATTTTGAAGATGGAGCAATACAAAATGTTTCAGTTCAGTGAGAAAGTTTCATGATCGTTGAATTTTCATTCTAATTCTAAAATTCTGGTATACTTTGTGTTTTAAGACGAAAAAAATAAACTACTGAAAATTTTGAAATTATAACAGCAAATTCACATTCAGCGTCCATTATACATGTACATACATACTCGTATGCACATATGTAGTTTGACAATGGAACAAATTCTGTTTTTGAAAAAAACTTGTTTTAAGCTTGTATTAAGTCAAATAGCTGGAAGAAGTGAATATAAAAATGTTGTTCCTTTTTTATAGTCGTATTCCAATAGAATTTAAACTACTCGTAAAAACGCGGCGTACTGTTTTCGATTTCCATGACATAACAGTCGCTCCAAAGAAGGAGCTGCCGTCGTTGGGCGGGGGGGGCAGGACCGAGCCTATCGGGACCGTGTATGATACCCAGCTGACTGAGCATAGTTTATATATATCATATTTTTTATCAGTGAGATTGTTCCTTTTTTATAGTCGTATTCCAATAGAATTTAAACTACTCTGACAACAACGACGGCAGTATTCTATTCGTTTTTTCGATTTTCCATGACAATATTAACATTGTTCGCTCCAAAGAATGAGAAGCTGCTCTGTCTTTTCGATTTTTGTTTGTTTTTTGTTTATTAAAGCATAGTATCCAGCACTGCGGAATCGAAAAATTACTGTCAAACTCCATATAAAAAAACTGTGACAGGAATGTTTCGTTTATGTATTCCTGGAGTGTGTATCCAGCAACACGAGCGGAATCCACAGATTTATATCGATAGTTGCCTATCGGGACCGTGTGTGGACTGAGAGAACAGCTGATACCCAGCTCAGGAATATATACTTTACAATGGTGATGGTGAATGGTGCAAGATGTAGGCAAAAACTGTCCGCAAAACCAAAAAGAGAGATGAAAATTATTCTTTTCTGTTTTGCAACAATATATGCCGCCATCAACACAATCACTTCATCATCAGAGTGAATTTTTTTCCTTTTTTAATTTTAGCAGAATTTTACAGTTGCCTCTGTTTACAAAACACAGCTGATTCATCAACCCGGTTTAAGCTATGTTCCACACCCTCACGGAATAACTAGCAAATTCCTTGCCGCAATTTTCCGCGGTGCTGGAGACAGGCCTTAATAAGTGATTATTGTTATCAGGTTAGTCGAGACATCCAATAGGAACGAAAGGACGCTGAAAATCTAACAACAAATTTTGTTATGCATAAAAACGGTGAATAATTATAATCAATAAAAATTCAATAAGTGCCACAAGTTACTCGTGCAGAAAGAGCCGAGGTCACACGAAAGAGCGTAGAAGCTCAATAGAATACAAAAATGATGTTTTCGTTTCGTTTCAACTTGTGATAACGATTCGGAAAGAAACGAAGAGCAAGTCCGCTCACATGACCACTGACAGCCAGAGAGCACATTTCTGCTGTTCTTTCTGCTGTGCTTATTGTAACTCCCATTTCATGGAGCTCGAAGTGTGGCTCGCCACAAACAACAAGTACATTGACACCCTCAACTACTGCACCGCAACATTATCAACTGCAACGGTCTTCGTCGCCAACAGAGCGAAAATGCTAGTAAAACATCGAGTGAAAGTTCCAGTGCCGATTTCGGCAATAGCAACATAAGAATCAAAACAAAACCAAAAAGCTACTTTAATCAGGTTTTTATCATAATCATTTTTTCCTGGAATATACACCTAACTACTAGATATAATAACATAACCTAAACTAATCATAAAATTAGATGTCTAATAATAGTAACCAAAAGACTAACACCCTGAAAAGCATAAAGCGTAGAGTAGATTTATAAACATAAGTTAAAGTAAGCTTGAACTTGTCACTCTTGTATCACTATATATTTAAGCAGAAGCAGAAGCTGTGCTACTGTAATATGAAAGATGACAATAAATAAACTGAAACTGAAAAGCTGCTCCGGCTGGGCAGATCGGATTGGACCGCTACACTCAAATCAAGAGAAAACTCAGCCCTCAAAACTTACAGGGCGATAAATCAAATAAATTGTGGAAGCTCAAATCACATAGAAAATATACCCCAAACAACACCAACATAATATTCATATTTGCATTGCTGGCTGATGATGCGACCGGTAGAATAGTGCGCTGATGAAAAAATTTATGAGCTTATTGGAAATACAAATGTTCATGTCATTCCTCTTACCAAAGAGAAACTTCAATCCATAACTGAAGATCAATTTAAAGTGGTGTCCAAATATCTAAATGACAACAATAAACGAGAAGGAACGTGTGAGTCGCTGCTGTGGACGCGACTCTACTTTTGTACCCGTACTCAGCTAGTAAATTTGTGATTTATGTAGAACTTACAAACATTTTACATTTTTTTTGCTACATCTTTTATCTACATCTAACATGTTTATTCTATATCTGAAATGTAGATTGTACATCTTCAATGTAGATTCTACATCTTCTCTGCATAGGGCAGAGTGTGAGAATAAGTAGCGTCATCAGCGCGGGAGGAGGTGGGGTTAGCCACTGCCAATTAATTTATTGGCTCTGGCTATAATAATGATCCGATATGATTCAGATTCGGCAATCTGGTATATATGGTCATTCTCTACGATAGCACGCTTTTACTTCTCTGGTATCTTTAAAGTTGTGGCTGCCACAGATTTTTGTTCTTTGTGGGGGCGCGGTGAAAATTTGCAATACACTTGTAGCAGTGTGATATCACATGAGCCTGAAAACAAAATTTGATTACTCTAGCTTTTAAAGTCTCTGAGAACTAGGCTCTCATCAAGACGGATGGACAGACGGACGGACGGACAGACAGACAGACAGACATAGCTATATCGACTCGGCTATTGATTCTGATCAAGAATATATATACTTTACGGGTCGAAACGTTTCCTTCTCTGCGTTGCACACATCCACTTTTACCACAAATCTAATATACCCCTTAACTCTTTTTAAGTACGAGTACAAAAATACTACATGTACCATCTAAAATTATTTTTGAACTATGATATTTACACTGCCACAAAGTATTATGGACTTTATGTCTTTCTTCTTATGCAGAATCAAAATATACTGATTCAGATGCTTGCATCTCAAGAGTCTGACCAATGATCAATGACTTCCCTAAGAACATCTCTGGGGATTTCCAATGGGGTTTCACAACATAAACTTGAACTAACCGAATTCTTGCATGACAAACACATCGACGTAAGGCTTCTTTCAGAGACGCACCTCACAAGCAAATACAACATTCAAATAAAGGGTTATTTGGTCTATGGTACAGATCTTCCGCATGGAAAACACCGTGAAACAGGCGTCTTAGATAGAAACCGCATCAAATACCACCACCATTAGAGGTTTGCAACAATTTATTTGCAATGGGTAATGGAAGTCTTACCACTGCTTTTGTCTACTAAGAAATAAGCGCTCCAATTGAAAAATGTCCATTACGTAGTCCCAATGGATCTATCGTCCGATAGCTCGCCTGTTTTACTAAGTCTTCTTCAACGCACAAAGTTCGTTGAGCAATCTTACAGGCTCATGGCGAATGGAGTCAACTGGCTTCAATACAAGAAATATGAGCTGCCCTCTTTCCTCTGCGGATGCAATGGAATCTGTACTCGTTATAGCAGCAAAAAACTGAATACCAAGTGATTTCTGTGCAAATCAACCAAATTAGAACTTTTCTGCGAATTGAGAAACTTTTTTTGCAAATTCATTTGTTGTTGCCACTAATTCATTTGTGCTCCCATCGTTATCACGTGAAACTTTTCAAGCACCTTCCGAAAAACCCATCAAATTCCGGCCAAGCGAAATCTTCAAAGCCATCGAAGAGCCCCGAAAATCACGTTGTTTTGACCTAAATATCATTCGAAAATGATCATAGTACTTCCCAGGTGAGCGGTTTTACACATCTGCCATCTTTTCGATCACCATCGCACCAATTTGGCTCTCGAGAAGACCACGGAATGATTGAGAAGATCAACCGCTCAGATCACATCAGAGATTCGGGTACGTACTGAATTTGAACAACGGGAATATTGAAAGGCACTATTCCTTGACTTTTCCCTAACCATAAACAGACCAAAATTCATTTAAACAAATTGGAGACTAAGATTAATGAAAGTACGTGAAAAGTAAGTGCAAACAAAAACACTGAACAAATACATATATAAATAAATCCATATCATTTCAGTGGCAGCGCAAATAAAGTGACCAAATGATCCTGCCGATAAGTGTATAATAGTTTAAAAAATATGCAAGTATGTACGTTTGTACACAATACAAACATTTAAAATTAAAAAAAAACAGCATAATATTTATATTTTCATTGATGACTTTATCGTAAAAGTCATCGATGTTTTATCTATTAAATTTTCGTATACTCGTAAGTCATCTATTATGCATCTATAACTTTTGTATCGATTAATTTTACGGGAAAGTAAGTGGCTTGCAATATCTGGTTTGAAAGTCTTCATTTGAAGTGTAGTGGAATACGGACCAAATGACTGGTAGTAAATTTTCAATTATTTTTTTCGAATGTAAGAATGACAGCGAACTTAAATTTGTATGTGTGTGTGCCGAATCTTACACTTTGTTAAATCTTGCGACTGTCCTGTCATTGAATTGTTATTTGCCGTCCATTTAGATGTGTGTGCCCCAACTTAAAAATCATAAACTTCGTACTAGATAGACGAAAAATATAATATAAAAACGTTTTATACAAACGTTAAGACATCGTGGCTGCGCGGAAAATAAGAATCTTTGCTGATTAGTTTCTGAGTGAATTGAGAGTGCGTTAAGAAGTTTTAGATAAATAGTACTTAGTGTGAATAGTAGGTTTCCCTTGCCATTCCGTACTTACCAAGCAGCGGCACGGCGTCGGAGGTCGCCGGCATTGTTTCTGCCACCATGTTAAGGAAGACTGTGAGCGATAGTAAAATAGTAACTCCTAGAAATACGCAAAACATGATTAAAATGACAGTCTTTGTGATATTGTCTGCACAAACAAAAACACGAGCATAGTAAAAGGGAAGAAAGAGACAGCGTGAAATCAAATTGTGAAATTATTACATTTATACTTGTATTACTTGAGTAAAACGCTAAAATACAAGCACAATTAAAATAAAGATTTGAGAATATTATTCAGAGGTCTTCGGTCCGGCTGATCCCTCAGTTCCTGCTGCTGAGACTGCTGATACTTATGCATGAACGTACAAATGGGAGTGTGATGGTAATCGTGGTGCTGTGTTTTTTTTCACTTTTGCTTTTGCCGCGTTCAATAAAAAACTACTACCATATTCTCTGCGCTGAACCTCACGGTCTGTAGGTCTGTAGTCGGTCCATCGAGTCTTTTGAGTTAATTTTTAGGTATTTTTTATCTTGCTGCCACGGGTTCCTTTTTCTAGTGCAGTGAAACCCAAACTGGGAATGGTAGCTCAGTACTTTACTGTGACTGTTTTATTAACTTCCACTTGCCTCAAATCGTTTCATTCCATAAGTGATCAATTACATATACATATGTATTTGTATAGGTCATTAGAGCGAGCTTTCTTGTGAGAATTATTCTAGATTTTCTAAACTTTATTGTTGCGGAAGAAAGTCTTTTGTATAACTAAGCCAAAAATTATACCTTATCATATATATGTATGTATGTAGCTCCTCCGAGTATATGCTAAAAGAGGTGAGTGGCCAGTAGCTTGACGGCACTTGTCCTACCCGTGCACTTAAAATGAATGCCTTCTGGGGCTAGCATTAAGCATTGTAACTAGGGCCACTTGGGGCATGGCATTTCGAGATGCGGTGACACGAGGGCACTGTGCATTTTGAACTCTTTGAACGGAGATTTTTTATTCCATCGGTATCAATAAAATATGGAAAGGCTGATGGCTCTTTAAACCTGACCACTGGGTTGAAATTAGTTAGCTCGAAAGATTTAAGCCTCTCATTCAAATTCATGCCACTACTTTTAGATTCTGTCTGAATGAGCCATGAATGAATCATTCAAATACCGATTGGAATGCGTTCATGCTGTTCTCTAGTGCCCTCGCAAATCAAAACTGGTCTCATTACTGAAAGGGTCCTTATGTCTTCCGATAGGGGTCGTGCTCATCATATCGCTCTCTTTTCTCGGGTTACCAGCTAAGCAATTCGCGGCTGCCTTGCTACCGTACAAAGTGCATCCCAATTGTGTTCGGGCTTGTTCACTTACAGAGCTCTGCCTATTCACTAGCCCTTGAGAGTTTTCATAATTTCGAGATAAAGATTTGGCTTTGTTGTCGATCCTGAGATGAAATAATAAGTGGAGTAACAACGAGTTGAAAAAAAATGTATGCGCACTTTCGCAATATTTGTACCGGGAACATGTTAGATAAGGTTGGAAAAGTTAAGTTATGTGGTTAAGTTGTTTGCATGAACATAGTTGCCTAATCTGATCATATTTGGATTCAGCCGAGCCCTAAATGGTTCATTAATCTACTGATAGTGGGGGAAAGACAGAGAGAATGCAGAAAAAAGGAGGAAGGGAGACAGAGTGTGTAGAACTGGACAACACTTACCAAGTGAGAGCTTCTCACCAGAATCTGGCGGAAGTGTAAACCCTAGCAGTGCCATGGAGGCAATTAGTACGCACGGCACAATTAAATTGAAAAAATAATATAGGGTTTTACGTCGTATCAAAATGGCGAATGTTATGTCAATATAAGGTTCTGGGCAGCAATTATAGTAGATTTCATTTCGTTTGCCGGGCACACCTGGTTGTTTTTTTGGGATGGGAACGAATTTAATGAAAGATGATGAGTTAGATAAAGAAGAAAAGATTAAATATTAAGATATTACATTTTCATCGACTTGTGATATTCAAATTTAGATTAATTTTACATATGTATGTACATATATATCTCACCATGCTATGTTCGGTTTCCGGCTTTTCAACTTACCTAGCAGATCCCACTCTCCGTTTGTTATGAAGCTAGAAATGTCTCCGCCAGCTTCGTCCTGCAACTGCAGATCCAACTGTCAAAGGGAACAATTAATATAATTAAAATACTACATTAAGGAACAAGTTTAGAAAAGGTTTCAATGCTTATCTTTAAACAAAATAGTATGCAGTATTTTATGTTCTTTGTTATACCCGTTCTCGAAGACTTACGGGATACTTTGGATTTTTGGGAAAAGTGGACAACGCATACAAGAAAACGTTTCCGACCACATAAAGTATACATATTCTTTATCAGCATCAATTGCCGAGTCTCTGTCTGTCTGATAGCTTTAAGCACTTGCTTGTAACTTTTGGGTACAACTTTCGATACAAAAAGTTGAATGGTCATTTTCGTTACACACAATAATTTTATTTAAATTTGATTTGTAATCTAAAATAATTTTTTTAAATATCTAATTATTATAATTTTTTATTATAAAACTTATTCAAATTTTTTGTTAAATATACCACATTGGAAGTAATATCTAATAACTATTTACCAATTTAATGTATGTCTAATGGTTGAAACATCATATGTTTGATATATTCACTTGACTAATATCCTTAAATGTTGTCGACATTATTGTTGTACTTGCTCTTTAAATATTCCTTTAACTACATATGTTTAAAAGCGCGCTTGACAATTTTGAGTCGTTCGGTATCTAGATCAATTTTTCTGACGCCATCTCGACAAAATTAAAGGATATACTTTTGTAAAGTCAAGTTAAAGTGGAAAAACAACCTAAAGAATTAGATGGTTTAGAACATATGTTTTTATCTAGCTATGCATTGAATTGAATACTTTTAATAAATAATCCCAAAAACAGAATCATATGTACCTTCCATGCATTACTATATTTTTAACCTGAAAGATGCAGTATGCAAATAAAAGTTGAATACATTTTTTGGTTCGTTTGGTTTTGGTGTAAGGATTGTCGATAATTACGAGGAAACCTTTTGGCCTAAAATTATCGCGAGTTATTCCACATCTGGAGCATTTCCGTCGTTAGGTGTTTTTTTCTAGGACGAGTACGTGTTAGGATTTACAGCAAGTAATAATTGTTTATTTTTCCTCGAAATCATCGACTTTTTAGGGAATTATCCAAAATTTATTCAATTAACCCATTCGTAGCCATTGTACCCAAGCAAGTACAGAAAAACTGTAATTTTTAAATATCCGTTACTTTAACTGTACAAATCATGTTGCTAAAATTTTGTTTGTTTTTCAATCACATACACCGTGCGGTCGTTGGTATTTCTTCTTTCTTCTGACACATTTTCGGCTCTGTAAAAAGGGTGTTGCGCTATAATTACACTATTTTCTTTGGAATTTAGAAAGAAAAAATGCTGCTTGCTCATATTGTTCACAATTTGAATTATAACGAGAAGGATTACAGACGGACATGGCTATATCGACTCGGCTATTGATGCTGATCAAGAATATATACACTTTATGGGGTCGGAAACGTTTCCTTCTCTGCGTTGCACACATCCATTTTTACCACAAATACAATATACCCTTTAACTCTTTTTTGAGTACGGGTAAAATAAAAAGAAAACTTGAAGGTTTGAACTGTACCAGAAATAGGAAAAGCTTAAAAAAAAACTTATCATTTGAGCAGTAGCATGTGGATGTTACTTGAATCGAACACAGCTGAATAATGAACTGAGGCCTGTGTTTGCTTACGACCCAAATTGATTTGGATTAAGCTAAACTCCTTAGACTGAGTTGTTTTGTGTGTCTTTCAGGTTTTTTTTTTCCTAGATCGAGATGACTAAGATCGAGTCGTAAAGGCTACGATTTATTGAGTAAGGATTTTTTACAATTGTTTGATGAAATTTTATATGAAGCTATCCGTGGGCTCCTAAAAAGAGAATGAAAATGAAGGTTACTTTTGCCTACCCTACTGAGCGTTTTTAGAGTTCGCCCCAAAGATTCCACAAGCGACAAAGACACCTACCCTCCGCTCCTCTGCTCCCCCTTCACGCGTTACAAACTGTGCTGGTTTCCCATTTCCCCATTTAAGAAATCTGAGAGCGACGAGTATGTGATCGAGCAAGATCGCCTGTTTCGCAAATATGACAGCGTGCTGCTTTGGGTTGTGCCAAAGCAGCTAAGATTCCATATTTTAAACGAATGTCACGACAAGGCTGGACACATGAGCACAGAGAAAAAAATTAATCGGATTCTAAATTTGTTTTGGTTTCACCGAATGCGCAACTACGTTAAAAGCTACATAAAGTCATGTGTGGGCTGTGCGCTGTATAAGATACCAGGTGGACGTCAGGAAGGACAGTACCACTATGACATCAATCCAATCTCTTTTTCCACCGTACATATTGATCACCTGGGACCCTTTTCTAAGAGTTCAAAACGGAATGAGCACATTCTTGTGAATGTCGACGCATTTATAAAATTTACCATAGTGCGAGCTGTAAAAAGTACAGCCACGAAACACGTAATTGATGTCCTGGAGGAGGTAGCCAGCTACTTAGGAATGCCAGATCGAATCATTACCGATCGCGGTACCGCTTTTACTTCAAAGGATTTTGAAAGGATTTTTTTGCTGTAAAGACACCGAGAGCGAGCGGACATGCAGAACGAACGAACCGGATTATTTTGTCAATGCTATTGCCTTCAAATGAAAATGAAAAACGATTGGACGGCCAGATACGATCAATCCAATTGAGCATCAATACCATGTTTACCATGGTACCACTAAATTTTCCCCATTTCAGCTATTGTATGGTTACGAGCCACGAGATATCCTCAAGAACACAGTGACGAAAGCGATCCAAGGCCCGGATCAGATGATGTTGACAGATGACGAGTTGGAAAAGCTGCGAGCAGATGTTGCGACTACAGTCAACGATCATTGGGCTGCTGCGAAGAAACGTTACGATGCCAGACATTCCAAGCCAACCGTATATACCCTTGGTGATCTTGTGTTGGTCGAGAATGAGCCGTTCAGCACGGGAACGTCACGCAAATTGGAGCCTCGCTATAAAGGTCCATTTATTATCAGCAAGGTGCTGCCAAACGACCGATATCTGGTAGAAGATATCCCTCATGCCCAACGAATGCAAAGGCACTATAAGGCGGCGTATTCATCTGACAGGATGAAACGCTGGTGCGAACTCCCACCCGATGAACCAGATGAAGATGACGACATTGAAGGCGACTCACCCTACGAATCTCGCGAGGACGCTACGATTTGTCAGGAAAGGCCGACTGTGAAGAGCTGTTAGTCAACAGGAGCTGTCAATTCTATCGGGGCTAATATACGCACGATAGCTCCATAGCCATCCATACCAACAACGGTAATATTTACTTAAGAAGTCGAATTGAACAAGATATTCAAGAAAACCTCTTTTTCAATTAATTCATTCTACATATATTGTTTAACTTATTATATCCAATAAACACTACTATTCTACTCAAAAGCCATTCCTTCGCAAAATTTATTTTGAAAAAATTCGGTATGTTTGAAAACTCACCTCAAAGAGCCAAATGGACTTTTTATACCCGTACTCAAAAAGAGGGGTATATGTATTAGACTTGTGGTAAAAGTGGATGTGTGTAACGCAGACAAGGAAACGTTTCCGACCCCATAAAGTTTATATATTCTTGATCAGCATCAATAGCCGAGTCGATAGAGCCATGTCTGTCTGTCCGTCTTGTTTGTCGGCTAGATCTCAGAGACCATAAGAACTAGGGCAACCAAATTTGGTTTTCAGACTCATGTGATATCACACTGCTAAAAGTGTATTTCAAAATTTCGCCCCGCCCCCTTCTGCCCCAACAAAGGAAGAAAATCTGTGGCAGGCACATTTTTAAAGATACGATAAAACGATAAAACGCAGTATCGTAGAGAATGACCATATATACCAGATTGCCGAACCTGAATCAGATCGAATCATAATTATAGCCTACTATCTACATCTACATCTACAATGTGTATTCTACATCTCCTCCGCTAGGGGTTGCTCGCGCACTGAACGCGGCAGAGTGTGCGAGCGAGAAAGAGATAGGTAGCGGGTCTCTGGCAGGAGGGGGCGGAAGCACCAACAGAAAATTAATTTCTTCCTTCTGGTTATAATTATGATCCGATCTAATTCAGATTCGGCACTCTGGTAGTTATGGGCATTTTCTACGATACTGCGTTTTTAGTTATATCGTATCTTTAAAAATGTGCCTGCCACAGATTTTCGTCCTTTGTGGGGGCGGGGCGAAGTTTTGAAATACACTTGTAGCAGTGTGATATCACGTGAGTCTGGAAACCAAATTTGGTTGCCCTAGCTCTTATAGTCTCTGAGAGCCAGCCGACAAATAAGACGGACGGACAGACAGACATGGCTCTATCGACTCGGCTGTTGATGCTGATCAAGAATATATATACTTTATGGAGTCGGAAACGTTTCCTTCTCTGCGTTACACACATCCACTTTTACCACTTAACTCTTGTTTGAGTACGGGTATAAAAATGGTGTCGGGTAGTGCTATCATTATCTTTGGCTTTACGATTTATTGATTGTTATTGCGAATGTAAATTTGATAGGAAATTGAAAGCTTTAAAAGCAATGGTGTCCACCGCCAATGCAAGGCAATTCCAAAAAGGATTTTCTGGAGGTTTCGTAAAATGAAAATAAAGAGATTAAACATTTTTTAATCTTAAATTATGTAGATAAATCAGAAATTAAATATCCTCTCTGAAACTGTACAACATTCTTTGAGTGGAATTTTTTTTACCGGTTTATTTAACCAAATCTCTGCCAGTAGTACTAGGGAGTTGAAAACCAACCGAGAGAGATTCTTCATTGTACTTCACCCTGTACATTAGATTATTTCTGCTAAGCAGGAATATAAGAGTTGAAGTCAGGGACTGCATATCAACCAGACTCATCCACGCTGGTGTAACACAGGGGAGTGTGCTGGGATCTGTGTTTTTCAACACCACCTTCCCGTCTAAACTTCCGTTCCCACGCAGTCCCAAGTTAATGACCGCCACCTAAACGGACGACACCGCCTAGGTACTTTTTGAGTAAATGGTGTAAGCAAACAAATATACTCGTAAATTTTTGTTATTCGTAGCACCAATCCAATAAAAATTTGGTTGATTCTGATAAAAAAAGACTAGCTGTACAGTCTTTTGCAAAGGTCGGTTATATTTTTCTCTGAATAGAAGAGAGATTTGTTGGGAGGGTATATAAACTTAGCTCAAAAAAGTAAGCTTACTTACTGGTTTTTTAATTAGACGAGGAGTAAGTAATTAAGTAATTAAAATTATGTCCACCGATTTTTGCCGCCGTTCACTCACCTGAAAGCCATCGTAGGTCCAAGAACCAAATTTCATTTCACATCGTTGATCGTCAAATGGGAACCAGGTGATATCTATCTTGCAAGTTGATTTAAAAATGCCCGGTGGAACGTACAAGCAGCTCCCGTTGTTGCGCACCACCACATTGGTAGCATAAGTGCCGTCGAAGCCCTCATCTGCACTGAAATTGTAACGTGTAATAGAATGCTTTGATTAATCAAATTCAATTCCATTACGATTACATTATGTAATAAAATCGACCGTTTCTTTAAAGAACGAAACCGACTTTTTCTAACAGACTTGCAGCTCCGTACAATGAAAAGGAATAATGGTTTTTATACCGGATACTTAAAGAGTACATGGGTGTATAAAATTCGTATAAGTGTATGTAATAGCCAGTAGAAAGTCAGTATAAACGGCCAAGTCGAATTAAAATATCCGTCGGTTTGTGCTAATGAACGCCCAGATCTCAGAGACTATAAGAGCTAGAACCAGATTGTCTTTCAATTCAAACTAAAATTTTTTCCATGCGCCCTCGCAAAGTGCGAAATTTTGAGGCATCCACAGTTTTGAAGATATGAGAACTCCGAAAATGCAGAATCATAGCGAATCAATGCCATATCTACCAGACTGTTGAATTTTGTTCAGAAAGGATTATTTTTATAGCCAGAATGAACCAATAAATATGCCGTGGATATGATTTCCCTTACACACACACTCTTCCTTGTGCAGGGTGCACCCGATGTCGGAGGAGAGCGCGATAGAACGGCGTGTTGGTGTGAGAGGAAAGAAAGACACAGATGTAGTGGCATAAAAAACAGTACAAGAAAAATGGAAACAGATAAAATATTATAAAATGCTAGTAAAATAGTTCTTTATGTGTTAAGGGGATTATTAACATTATTATTACAAATACAATTTGTAATAATTTGAAAGAAAACGAGAAGGAACGTGTGAGTCGCTTCTGGGGACGCGACTCTACTTATGCCCGTACTCAGTCAGTATATACATTTTTGAGCTTATGATTTTTTAGAATTTAAAAGTTTAAAAAAAAATTTTTAATTTTACAGTTTTGTGCTACATCTGTTATCTACATCTACATATACTATGTATATTATACATCTAACATGTAGATAATACATGTACTATTTGGGTTCTACATCACATCCGCTAGGGGTTGCTCGCGCATTAAACGCGGCAGAGTGTGCGAGCGAGAAAGAGAATCAGTAGCGTCAGCAGCGCTGGAGAAGGAGAGGGAACCAACAGAAAATTAATTTCATCATTCTGGCTATAATTATGATCCGATCTAGTTCAGATTCGGCAATCTGGTAGATATGGGCACTTTCTACGATACTGGGTTTTTTGTTTTATCGTATCTTTAAAAATGTGCCTGTCACAGATTTTCGTCCTTTGTGGGGGCGGAAGGGGGCGGGGCGAAATTTTGAAATACACTTGTAGCAGTGTGATATCACAAGAGTCTGGAAACCAAATTTGGTTTCTCTAGCTCTTATAGTCTCTCAGATCTAGGCGCTCATCAAGACGGACAGACGGACGTACGGACGGACAGACGGACATGGCTATATCGACTCGGCTATTGATGCTGATCAAGAATATATATACTTTATGGGGTCGGAAACGTTTCCTTCTCTGCGTTACACACACCCACTTTTATCACAAATCTAATATACCCCTTAACTCTTTTTTGAGTACGGGTATAATTAATTTAATAAATAAAGAATGCATAATTTTTAAATCGTAGAAAATAGTTTGGTGTAGGCGTATGCGGAATTTCTCAGATGAAAATAGGATTGTAGGATTGCTTACATTTTAATATTTCGACAATGTTGAATTCAATTCATTCTAGAATATCAATAAAGCTTTCCAAAATGCTATGTCTATGAAAAAAACGTTTGAATTCAAAAGTGTACTCAAAGACTTAAGCGGTATTGAATTTGAAATTTGAAATTTTATATTGGTCGAAGTGGATGTGTGTAACGCACAGAAGGAATCGTTTCCGACCCCATAAAGTGTGTATATTCTTGATCAAAGTCAATAAAATTATGTCTGTATGTCCGTGCGTCTTGTTTTTTTGCCTAGTTCCCAGAGACTATTTCACCTAAAGCAACCAAATTTGGTTTAGAGACTCCTAGTGATAACACACTATTACAAATTTATTTAACAATTTTGACCCTTCTGCCTCCACAAAGGACGAGCATCTGTGGCATCCACAATTTGGAAGATACGAGAAAATTGCCATTATTATAGCCAGAACGATGAAAATAATGTTGGCTAAGCTAAGTGGCTAAGCTACCACCTGCCAACGCTGCCTTATTCTCTTTCTCGTTCACATACTCTACCTTGTGCAGTGTGCGCTCTCTGGCAAAGTTGTAAAAAAAATAATGTAGATGGCAGTTGTAGCGAAAAAATGTAACAAATAAAAGATTTAATACTTCCACATAAATCGAGCATATGATATATATACTGACTGAGTACAACTGAGTATAAAAGAAGAGTCGCGGCCACTGCAGCGACCCACACCAGTCCCTCTCGCTAAAAATGGAAAAGCGCATTTACCTGAGCTAATCTTAAATAGTCTTGGTCTAAAAAAACTTATTCTTGAAAAAATTTGAAATACATTTGACTTAGTGACATATCACAGAAGTCTAAACACAGTCCGGTTGCTCTTCACCTTAGAGTCTGTCAGCCAGACAGACAAACTCAACAAACGCTAGCTTCAAACATATTGTAAGTAATCAGTGGCTTGCGCAGCTGAAAAGCAATGCACCTATACCTACCTGTTGTACATGAGAACGTCCGGCTTCCATAAACGATGCGGCGGAATTCGCAAGTCCCGAACACCACCAAACTCACTAGAATTCCAGCGTAGATTCATATCATTCCATTCCTGAAATACAAAAATGTACATTAACTAAATATATTTAGTAACATAACTATAATGCCCACCATCGCACACGCATTACGTATACGTTAAGCACTTTGACATATCCACACCCACACCTATAGACGTTATGCATATGCCCAGCACTCACCTTTACACCTATGTACTTGTATCTGTAGGAAGTATGATAAACATATAAGAAGATGCCCCAACACACCTGCATAAACAAAGCAAGAGTCGTCCAAGCCGAAATCAACAGGAAGTCTCATGCAACCAAAAATTCTGGAATGCAATCGAACGTCGCTGACCAATCCGTTAACAGCTCGTTATCAAACTGCAATAGAATGGAGAACTCTTGTTAACAAGTGAGTTCTCAAGATGAAACCCGATACCGATCGCTAGCTGCGGCCGCCTGTTTCATCCACATCTTTTATCTACATCTACATATACAATGTATATTCTACATCTAACATGTAGATTGTACATGTACCATTTAGATTCTACATCTCCTCCGCTGGGGGTTGCTAGCGCACTGCTAACGCGGCGAGTGTGTGAGCGAGAAGGAAAATGAGTAGCGTGGTCGTTGGCAAGAGGGGGCAGAGGAAGCAACTGAAAATTAATTTCTTCATTCTGGCTATAATTATGATCCGATCTGAATCGGTAATCTGGTAGATATGGGCATTCTCTACGATACTGCGTTTTTAGTTTTATCGTATCTTTAAAATTGTGCCTGCCACAGATTTTCGTCCTTTGTGGGGGCGGAAGGGGGCGGGGTGAAATTTCGAAATACACTTGTAGCAGTGTGATATCACATGAGTCTTGAAACCAAATTTGGTTCCTCTAGCTTTTATAGTCTCTGAGATCCAGGCGCTCATCGAGACGGACAGACGGACAGACAGACAGACGGACAGACAGACAGACGGACAGACAGACAGACGGACAGACAGACATGGCTCTATCGACTCGACTATTGATGCTGATCAAGAATATATATACTTTATGGGATCGGAAACGTTTCCTTCTCTGCGTTACACACATCCACTTTTACCACAAATCTAATATACCCCTTAACTCTTTTTTGAGTACGGGTATAAAAAAACCGTGACAGGAATTTTTCGTAGGCAAAACTGTGCGCAAAACATAAAAGAGAGATGCAAATTATTCTTCCCAACATACTCCTGCAAATCCCTCCCAATTGCCTAGTGGAATTGAGTCAATGCTGGTAACTATAACAAACACAATGATTCCAATACAACAAACGATGCAAGAGCTTATGCGCAACCAAAATCTCCTCCTGGAGCTCCTAATCAAACAGAAATCTGTTTAAATGGCTTGTCTAAATATATGTTTCTGGAATGCAAATGGCATTTCGCAGCACAAATGCGAGCTCTTACAGTTCCTCGTTCATCACGACATTGACGCCATGCTCATATCAGAGACTCACCTAACAAATCAAAACTATTTTCACCTCGATGGCTATAACTATGCGACAAATCATCCCGATGGTAAGGCACATGGAGGTACTGGCGTTCTGATCAAGAATCACCTTCATTTGCTACATCTTATCTACAGGCAACAGCAATTCATATTAAAATATCAAATCTACCTAAACCTAGCCGCAGTATACTGCCCACCACGCTTCTGCATTTCCGAAACAGAATTAGTAACATTCTTCGACCTACTAGGTGACCGAATTATAGCAGCTGGTGACTACAATGCCAAGCACACCCAAACAAGCATCCCGACTTGATTGATTTTGCAGTTACACGAAGGGTGCTGCAAGCTCAGATTAATGTAGATCACTTAACAGATCTATCATCGGATCAATCGCCCATTCTACTTCACCTTTACGACCATCCACAGCTTTCGGAACGCCCACACTTTCTAACTTCTAGCAAAACAGATTGTCTCAAATACAGGAAGTACATAATCTCTCATATTGATAGCTGCCGAAACATTAATTGTAAAGATGACATTGATAGGTCAGTCGAAGCATTAGTATCCTCAATGTCACTGGCGGCAAAACACTCAACACCAATATTAGCAGCTAAAAAACTTTCCAACAGCAGTCGTATTTCTAGGCACATTGAAGTGCTGCTACGCGATAAAAGAAGGCTTCGCCGAGAGTGGCAAGCACACAGATCACCTGCCTCGAAAGAGCGGCTAAAAATAGCCAACCACCAACTACGCAGAGCCCTAGAAGATGAAAACAACCGAGCTAAAATATCCCATATGGAGCACCTCTCCCCAACTAGAAGCGATTCCCACTGTGGAAAGATAAATCAGGCGTATACCCACCAATCGAGAGTGAATCACCTTTGCGTACACAAACAGGAGAGTGGGCTCGCGGCAACAAAGAGAAGGGAAATCAATTTGCCGTCCATCTAGAAAACGTCTTTAAACCACACCCACCAACCAACAATCCCGAATCATATTCTAATCAGGAGAAGTCTCAAGGGTCATTAAAGACCAAATTCCAAAGCAATAGAAAGCTGCAGGCCACGATTTCATCTCCCCTAAAATGATCATAGCATTGCCGAGCTGTGCATTGTATTTCCTTACTGTGATATTCAACAGCATGATGAAATTGGGCTATTATTCTCAAGAATGGATGAAATCAGTCATCACAATGATCCATAAATCCGGAAAAGACAAGTCCAAGCCATCATCATATAGACCTATCAGCCTTCTGCCTTGCCTATCAAAGATATTTGAAAAGCTGCTCAAACAGCACCATCCCGATGCACCAATTTGGAAAAAACATGGAACCATTGAACAAGTAAACCGTATAACCTCTGAGATAAGAAATGCATTTGAAAGACGAGAGTATTGCTCCACTGTTTTTCTGGATGTCGCCCAGGCTTTCGACCGCGTTTGGTAAGATGGCTTAATCCACAAAATCAAAATATTACTTCCACAGAACATCCATGGAATATTGGAGTCATACCTACAGCAAAGAAGTTTCGCAGTACGATGCAAAGATTACCTCTCTGAATATCATCCAATTGAAGCTGGTGTACCGCAAAGCAGCGTGCTTGGACCGACACTGTATATCATATTCACAGCAGATCTACCGACAAACAGCCTAACGACAACTTCGACATTTACTGATGATACTGCCATATTAAGTCGCTCCAAGTGCCCAAGAAGGGCCACGGATCACTTATCATCTCATCTCGTGGCCTTAGAAAAATGGCTAGCAGACTGGCGGATACATGTAAAAGAGCAAAAGGGCAAGCATGTCACCTTCACGTTAAACAGACAAATCTGCTCTCCATTATATCTGAACAATATCAACATTCCACAAACCACCGAAGTAACATACCTTGGTGTTCATCTGGATAGAAGACATACTTGGCGTAAACATATCGAAGCGAAGAGAAATCTACTTAAATTTAAAGCTAGTAATCTACATTGGCTAATAAACACCCGTTCACCACTAAACCTGGAGTACAAAGTACTTTTGTACAATGTAGTTCTCAAACCCATCTGGACATACGGCTCCGAGCTATGGAGAAATTCTTGCGTTAGTAATTTAGAAATAATCCAGAGAGCTCAATCGAAGATACTAAGAACTTTCACCGGGGCACCATGGTACATACGGAATGAAAATATCCATAAAGACTTAAATGTAGGATCAGTTAAAGATGAAATTGCCAAGGTGAAAGCAAAGTATCAGGCCAAGCTTCAAGCCCATCCTAATAGACTTGCGCAGTCTTTAACTTGGCACACTAGCCATTCACGACTCCGCCGAAGAGACCTCCCCACCCAGCATAATAATTAGCTAGGGACGTACTCTAAGTAATTAAGTGTAATTAATTAAATAAATATATTAGGTTAATATTTGCATACTTGTCGTCCGTCTCTAATAGGGAAGAATATTTTTGCTGTGCAACAATATACACCAACACAATCACTTGATCGTCAGAGTGAATTTTTGTTCCATTTTTAATTTCAGTTGAATTTCACAATTTCACAAGACAGTTCCGTTTGAGTTTTTCTAACATTGAGCTGGAGAATTCAGTGTCATATCCCATGTTCTAATATAAGTTCGGTTAAATAAAAACATCCTTTTTAAAAGCCTACTTTTGAACCCTGGAATTCTTATTATTTATATGGATATATCTGTAAATACTTGAATATACGTACATATATCTGAATATCCATCCATACCATCTGAATATGCAGTTCGTGGTGTGGGCATGTTGCATTGGAAGCCAGGGAGGAACTCGTTGAAGGCACAGTTCATTGTGGCCTACAACAATCAAGTTCTGATAAATATTATGGAGCCTACCGTAGCCAACGAGTCACTGGCGAAAATACAGGAGTATACCAAGTGAAGGACCTCATTGAAGGTTATTAACTTTGACTTCGCACTCCAATGATAACAAAACTAGCTCTTAGTTTTTTATACCCGTACTTAAAAACGAGCTAAGGGGTATATTAGATTTGTGGTAAAAGTGGATGTGTGCAACGCAGAGAAGGAAACGCTTCCGACCCCATAAAGTATATACATTCTTGATCAGCATCAATAGCCGAGTCGATATAGCTGTCTGTTTGTCCGTCTCGATGTGCGCCTGAATTTCAGAGACTATAAGAGCTAGAGAAACCAAATTTGGTTTCCAGACTCATGTGATATCACACTGCTACAAGTGTATTTCAAAATTTCGCCCCACCCCCTTCCGCCCCCACAAAGGACGAAAATCTGTGACAGGCACATTTTTAAAGGTACGATAAAACTAAAAACCCAGTATCCTAGAAAGTGCCCATATCTACCAGATTGCCGAATCTGAACTAGATCGGATCATAATTATAGCCAGAATGATGAAATTAATTTTTTGTTGGTTCCCTCTCCTTCTCCAGCGCTGCTGACGCTCCTCATTCTCTTTCTCGCTCGCACACTCTGCCTCGTTCAGTGCGCGAGCGCCCTCTAGTGAAAAAGATGTATATTCTAAATAGTACATGTGGAATCTACATGTTAGATGTATAATATACATTGTAGATGT